CTGATTCCAACATCAGTGAAAGTCTGTTAAAGCTTGGGTCAAATACTTAAATGAGTATTTCACTCAACCTTTCTAAAACAGAACAACTTATATACCTATACTTTCTATCACAAAAAGGAAAAATTATACTTCCTAGTAAGAAAAGGACAAATTATACTTCCTATTACAAAAAGGAAAAACAATTTTTCTCATTTTGAGGACACTGCAACTTTTACATAAAATCTAAAATAAAAATGCTCACCCAAACGAGAGTTTATCTATAACTTATCAAAATTTTTGGAAGAAATTCCAAGCCCTAAATTAATTCATTCCTAAATTATTCAAAATGTTACTACTGATTATTTTTCATTTAATATTTCACAAAATAATTTAGCTAGAAAAGTATGAGTTGGCATTATTATCTCCCTTGAAATTTATTCAATGTTTCTTAATTAAGATAAACAAATATCTTCACATCTCAAATTAGCTAAGGCATCCATACTCTAAAGGTATACAATTTTCCCATTCATTTCAAGTCAGTCCACACGCCCAAGTCATTTTGTATAACATTTGCATAAATAATAAACTTTTCATAATGTGCCCATCCACATCATCACTTTTTTACATTAGAGGAAATATCCTTTTACACTTTAATATCTGAAAATATGAAAGTACTATATATATTTGGAAAATTAGCTTTAATCCTCCAAATCCCACGTCAGAAGAGTTCCCTAAGAAAATGTGCAGAAAACAGCCAAGTACTAACTTAAAGACATGTATCTGAGATTAAATCCAAATAAAGACAACTTGTAAAATCATTATTTTGTTGACAGACTTGTAGCTATATAATTTGAAACGTCATCAAGAAATACTATATGACAAATTATGGCTCTCTCGCTGTAATTTCTAGTTGTACAAAACTTTTTGGGAATGTTTATTAAAAAATCTGATAATTGGGAATTTCTAAAACTAACCCACAATATAATTCCCCTCTTAAACACAACCGGATCAGGCTGCTGACCTCTACAGAATACAAATGGATAGAGTTACAAAAGGTCTCCCTTTTCTGGAGACCACACGTCTTTCAAAAAGGGCCTATGTGTCCCAAACAGCCCCCAATCCTATCACCGAAGTTCATGGATTTTACTCCCAGGAGGGTCTTGCTTGGAATATGTTTGCTTGTATTATGGACGGACTTTTTACAAACTCTCAGCAAACTACAGCTGGATATTCAAGTAGCTAGAGACCTGCAGGTTGCAAGTACAAGAAAGGGGAGCTGACAGAAAAGAAAAGAAAGAACACAACTATAAAATGCAGACAGGGTGATGGGTGAATATATGACTTACTGGCAAGTTATTTTTAAGAGAAAGAAATGAACATATAAAACCTCAGTTAAAAAAAAAAATTCATCCTTTCTAGGTATTCAGCATAAGGAATTCCTCCAAGGGAGTTTTTAAAGACACTTACACATTTACTTAAGATGTAGCCTTTGGAAACAAGGTGAAAATAGTTTATTTTTATTGTTTTCTTTTAAAGTAGTGAGTATCCCAAAAATGAGGGGAAAACATGACAGTGCCAACTTCATAGCACATTTTCTTCTATAACAAACATAATTTGTGCCAAAGGTTTAAATGTCTAATTTTCATGTGATAAGGTGTTAACCTTTGTCATTTTTAAATGTTATTTTCCTCCAACTTTAAAGGAATTTATTCACAAAATTAGTCTCTCGGCCCGGGTGGAACAATACATAAACAAACACTGAAGAACAAAAGCAGCACATTGTCAGTGACGCCAGAAAATAATACTGAGTAAGGAATGCTACTGAGAAGCCCGTTTCCTGGTTCTTTTCAATTTAAGATACAATCGAAAACATTTCAGCACTGAAATTAAAAAAACCAAAAAAATCAACATGTTCCTAGTACAGAACCCCTTTATAAAACTAAAGACAGTTCTCACACTGCCCACATACCTAACAGAGCGGCAAAGATGGGGAAGCGGTTCGGGTTCAGGTCCAGCTGCTTGGCAACCTCGTGCATCAGGTACTGGCTTGTGGTGAGACTTTTCCCATTCCGGCTCAGCTTGAGGGCGTGGGCACTGAAGTAATAAGGGATGTTGCACAGCGCGTAATCAGAGTCGTACGCAACCAAGCCATGGAAGCCGTTTTCTCTGCAGAAACCGATCACTTCTTGATGATGGTCCTCGATGCTCTGCGCGACCTGGGTGAGAAAGGGGCGCTTTGTCAGAGGCCGGGCCCCGCTGCAGCACTTGCTCAATATGCAGGCGTTATCTGCACAGACTCTGCAAATTTCAGATATGGAAGATACGCAACAGAGCCAAACGGTCAGAAATGCCACGGCAAAGTGTGCAGCACATTGCTCAAATGAGAAATTTCAGTGGGAAAAAACCTCCTGGTCAGTAATCTCCATCCAGACTGTAAATTCATTTTCAATTTCTTCTCAAGTTCAAAGATCACCCTACTTCAAAATATACAATGCCAGTTGACCCCTGTGGCAGTATTTTGAAGGAAAAGAGGGAGAGGTGGGGGAAAAAGAGACAGAAAAGGAAAATAAAGAAGTGTGAAGGAAGGAGAAAGAATGTAGCCACTCTCAGTGAAACCAAAATAATTTCTTTTTTTAATTTATTTTATTTATTATTGTATTATTTAATTATTTTATTTGTGGGGAGGTAATTAGGTTTATTTTTAGAGGAGGTACTGGGGATTGAACCCAGGACCTCATGAATGCTTAGCATGCACTCTACCACTGAGCTATACCCTCCCCTACAAAATAATTTCTTCAAAGTAGATCCAATAGGTAAAACAATCAGAAGGATTTTTTAAAAAATAAAATAAAAGCCAAGGGTCATCCATCACCTACCTGTGTACTACTTACTACACACCTGAAGCAATCAGCATACGGGATAATAATCAGAATGGACATGTTTACCTCCAAATAATTGTCACATGTTTATTCTGTGCAAAGGACCAGGCCTGGTGGGGTAGTGCCAGGTTCAGGACAGCCATGAAGACTAGCTCTAAATTTACTGCTTTTTCCGTGGTGAAAACTACAAGCTGAACTTCTTTGCTGGTACTGGCTCTCCCTCTGTGAAAGGCCAGCTCCACCTCCCTCAGGTGTCGGGACATACTAAGGAGGGCAGAGAAGCAGCGCCCACAGAACAGTAAAAGGCCCCCGGGATCTCTCTATTCCTAAAAACATACCAAAAGGCACTGAAACACATTTTCCTAAAATACATAAAGTCAAAGACAATCGCGTCCTCTCCTGCTGTTTCCCAAACTCATTCATCCAACTAAAGTTTGGCAGGTTTTTTTGTTTGTTTGTTTCTACAATGGATAAAAGTATTTTAGAAAACAGAATTTTAGACTTACTCAGGTGATTCGGCTGTGGAAGGTTAACTCTCTCTAGAGCCCTAAAGGTAAAACACATGTGCCCTTAAATATAAATTCCTTAAAACTACACTGCCCAATGTATGGCTATACTGAATTAAAATTAAAAATAAAAATACTTTAAAAATGAAGTTCAAGTGTTCAATGGTCACCTACTAGACATCACTGTAGAGTTACACTGATCTCTCACTGACTTTCACCAAATTTTGTTGGAAAGTTAATTATAATGAAATCTCATTTGGAGGCAAAGCAATTCTTTTAAAGATGCATATTTAAAGGAAAAATAATTTTCTGCCTTCTCTTGAGAAATATTTTGACAAAAATATTTTACTGTGTAAGAAAATAAAACAATATTCAATTAGTCAATATTCTGTCTTAGTATAGGAGGATTGTTTCACCTCTTAATCTAAAAGCAGTGTACTTTCACTAAGATAGAAAAGTATAGTTTAAAAAAAAACATCTAAAATTAGGCCAGCTTCATCTAGAAGTGATAACTTTCAAGTCCAAGTTCTCTATCGCAAATCCCTTTATTACATAGAACTTTACAGTAGTGATTTAAGGCATTTAAAAATCACCAGCAATTCCTGTTTCCCAGGCATCTTTAATAGTAAGTCTGCACAATCTCCTAAGAGGCCCTGAAGTGACAAGAGATCGTAGGTCAGCACCCCCTCGCTCCACACCCCTTGGAGGAGTTCTAGAAAAGGCAGCCTGGCTGCTTGCTCCAGAGCCAGGTATCCAGTAGAGATAGGGCAGAATTAAACGTCTAAGTCGAGTACCATATACTCAACAGTTGTATTCTGCAGGAGAGTTTATTAACCTATTCTTCTGGGAAACTGAGGCTGAGAGCCATTGAGAACCAACTCCAGGACGAGAGCAGTTAAGAGATGACGTGGCTCATCCTCCCCGGGCACCTGTTCTCCGCCATCACTGGGCTGCGTGCCTCCTGGCGTGTTGCCCCATCTCCCTCACAACAGCCCTGGGTGGGGAAAGAAGGCGCCAGCCCTGAGCAGGTCACCCCAAAGGGTGCTCACGCAGGGGAAGAGCAGGTACCCCGGGCCAGAGGTGAGTGTGATGTGTCTGCAGCCCCATCCCAGGGACCCACAGGAAAGCAGCAGGTGATGGAGTCAGAGCAGGCAGGGACAGGTCTAATTTGGCAGGTTTTCAAGGAAGGCTGTTGGCACTGGGAAACAATAGATAATGTATTTCCAGAGCTGTAAAGCACTCATAGTCGTTGGCCCTGGAATAACCTTACTCCAGGAAATACCTAAGAAACCAACGTACCCGATGAAAAACGCTGGGAGCATAAAAAGGGTAAGAGCAGGCTTCTACGGGAAAAAAAAAAAAAGGGTTAACGTTAAGGAGCTGGGTAAATACAGCAACTACACAACATTGTGGCGAAGCCTGGGAAAAGCTGAGGACAAAATACTAAACAAAACCATTTCAGAACATAACAACCAGTATACACAAACGTGTAAAAAGTACGCCTGTGGGGACAACAACTGGAAAGGAAAAAGCAAAAACCAACATAGCTGTGCAGGGTGGTGCAATCAGTTTTTTTTAAAAAAAACTTTTTAAAAGGAAAAATAATCTAATGAAAAGCTGAAACAGCACTGGTATAAGCCATACCCCTCTGTGCCGCTGCGCTGAGGGGCAGGTAGCCCTCCTTTCACACCTGTCGGACAAGGCGTGCAACTTGCTCATCTACATATCAAGGGTCTAGCTCGGTGCCTGGCACACAGTAAGCACTGTCTCTGAAATAAAAAAACTCTGGGGGTCCCAGTTCGGAGGCCTACTAACAGTCTTTAAACGACTTACAGAGATAAATAAGATAAATTCTATCCAGTAGAAGCCAGCATCCAGTGGACTTACAGAGCGGTCTCATCTGTCTCTGGAGAGTGGGATGGCGGGCTTTCCACAATCACCTCCGTCCACTTCCCCTTCCCCAAACACAATTCCTTGTTCATTCAGAACACTTGGTTTCAGACTGGCATTAAAAAGCAAAGTGAGTGAACCATTAATAATTCACTACAATACTACTTTGCAAATGATTAACAATACTTTAATCCTCCCCCAAAGCACACCTAACATTAAACAGTTGTCTGTTAGAATTAATCTCCTAAGACAAAGGAACCATGGCCTTAGGTAAGCGGAGACTTCAAATCTAAAGTAAGGTGGAGCAATCTGTGCCCTTTGTCCTGCTCATCTTTGTTATCTTAGGTACCGGCGTGATGGTGATGGGGAGGAGAGCTGTCTAGGTTCCAGTTCTGGCTTAATGCCCAGTCTGCCCAGCTAGGAATGTAAAATTAACGAATCTTTCAGGTTCCTTCAACTTCTAAAATGCTAGTATTGTTCCCCACCAGTTAAAATCCATTATGCCTTTCTCTGAGGAAAGGCTACACGGCATTGAAAACCACAAGGGAACAGAGCTGTAGTGCCTCCCAACAGGTGAAGAGTAGCAGCGTGGGGCAGCAGTTAGGCAATGAGGGAAATGAAACACCTAAATGAGAGTCTGGGGGACCAATACAACATGAGTCTCTGCATCTGTACAAGCGCACCTGACTACATCTCATCAGAGAATCAACTTTAATAAACACAACTTAAAAAAATAGCCAGCATATCAGTGGTGTCAGGACAGAATACAAACTGACAGATGTATGGAATTATATTATAAAATGTCTAAAATAACCCCCCTGAGGGGTTGGGAGGAGCAGCCCTAGGTAACCTTGGAAAACAATGCTTTGAGGGGAAGCAATGACCCAACAATGAGCTCCTGGTAACCAGCGTGTGGCAGGGGTGCGGGTGAACAACTCTGCAATCACCCTCATGTGTGCACGGCTTGGGTAGATGGGTGGCAGATGACCCGGGTGTCTCCCGGTCACAGAACGGAGTCACAAATGCGCAAAGGGAGGAAGCTAGCGTGACCCTGTGGTGCTGGGTTAGCCATGCAAATGTCCGTAAGAACCGGGGTGCAGGTTCAACAACACAGACCTACAGGCACAGAAGTCATCAGAGGTGAGTGTGTACACATGGGTTGGTCTACACACACATCTCCTAGCTATCAGCAGAGGGCCTAGAAGCAGCAACACCCTAGGAGAAAGGATACCTGCACCCCGATCTGGTTTCTAAATACCATTCTCCACTAAAAGGGACGACAGCCTTTGAAAAAAATGGGTGATGCCGGGGCAGGGAAATCCAAGATGAGTCTGGAGCATCTATGATGCCACAGACAAAGGACGGGGTTTGTCAGAGGCACACAAGGGCCCACCTGAAAGATGGTGGCAAGATGTTCCACCAATGCTGGGAGAATTTGTGCAACAAAATAAATAACGTGGTACTGGCTTATAACCAAAGTACACAATGAATATATGAGTCCAGACTGACAAAAACAAATAATGAAATAAAGGAGGAAGAAGAGACAAATCTTCCTCGGAGAAAAATTAAAAAAGATAATGTGGAGTTTAACTCCCACCCCTCCCCCTGAATGTAGGCTGCACTGGATGACCGCCTCCTAAGAACCAAACCAGCAAAGGGGACCAAAGTCACGCCCAGTAGACACCACTGCGGCGCAGAAGGGCACCGCATCTCTGGAGCATTCTCCCCAAATCACAAGAAAACATCAGACAGCCCAAATTGGAGGCCAGCCTACAAAATGCCTGATCAGTTCTCCAAAGGTATAGGTCACCAGAGGCAGGCAGAGGCTTGGGACCTGCCCCAAACCTAAGGTGACTAAGGAGACGAGACACCGAAAGGCGACAGGGCATCTGAAAAAGATACAGGTGGAAAATGGATGAAACCTGAATGAAACACATAATGCAGTTAAGGGTACAGTAGCA